TAAATATATACTCAATTTCATAATAGGTATTTCCATTGGTTGATTTGACAGCTGGGTGAATAGTGGAAATAGATCTGTTATGCCTTTTCGTTTTTTATATTGTGCAGTATTCTGACTAAGTTGACACAGCAGAGCTGTTCATATTACTGATTGTCCGTCGTCGTCTACCGTCGTCGTCAACTTTACAATTTCAACTTCAGAATGTTTTCAAATTTGAGATGCAAGTACCTTGGGTGGTTTCTTTTCAGATTTGTTCATTTCATGTCAAATTCTCTATTTTTGATGAATATTTTTGTCATTTTTGGTAAAAAGTGATATTTTCGACTTCTTGTTAAAAACAACAAGTCCAATTGCTTAGATACTATAAATATTGTTCTTTTCCTAATGATATCTTCAGTTCTTAATTGAAATGTGCATTGCTAACAGCGGAGCTATCTCAACCGACAGGCTGCTTGTTTCCTATTTGTAACCATTTTAATTCCTCCTGGGGACTTTTATATGGTCTCAATTAACTAAACTAAACCCTACATGCTTCAGATTTGTTCACAGTGGATAGAGGGACTGTGGTTGTGGAAAAAATAAAACCATGGACGTACTGTGGTAAAACTTAATCCTTTCAAATACAAAAACATTTTCATTTTTTTAAAACAAAATTTTTTACAAATAAAAGAAATGGCCCACTCCACCTTTAAAATGGTATTAATGTTTCCATAGTTTGCACTACACTGATATCTGTGTCAGTTTCTCACACAAAGTATCCTTAAAGTACTGTCCTCGTGAACCAAAGACTAAGCCATCATCTCACCACTGATGGAGAGATGAAGTATGTAAACATCAAGTTTATGAAACCATGCAATATTGAATCATAGATTATAGCTTTTATCGTTTTACTCAGAGACTCGTGTAGTTATACTCGATACATACAAAGAAAAAATAATCCCCAAAAAACAAAATACCTGTATTTCTGAGCTATAAAATACTGATTCTCCAAAGTGACATTGAGCTTGGACTTGTACAAGCTGATATTCAAACAGGCTGTGATTGTTCTCTCAGTCGTGTACACTTCGTAAAACTGCAACTGTATGAAAGTTTCTAAGTCTTATTTTATTTGCATTGCAGGATAAATGTGTAACGAGACTTGAACAACTTGGCTATAGAGTCGGACAGAGCTTAGTTGAAAGGTTTACAAAAGACAGCCCTCGATTTAAAGATGAACTTGACATTATGAAATTTGTCTGTAAAGACTTCTGGACAACTGTGTACAAGAAACAAGTAGACAATCTAAGAACCAATCATCAGGTGAGAAATTTGATTTAATAACTTTGTTACCTTCCCATTTGAGATCAACCATCTGTCAGTTCCTGCATTGACGTGTTTGACAGTTGTTAGTTATGAATCTTTTCAACTGTTATCGATATGTTTAGCATTGATTGTACAGATTTTTAACTTTATTTTGCTTATTTGCATTGTTAAATATAGATTTTTTTATGTCACCTTCAAGTACGTGCTTGGTGTAATCAAGCGTTTATTGATGAAAGGGGTACTCTAAAGCGCATTTGGGGTTGAACGACAATAACAAACCGAAAAGTGTGTTTTGATAATAAAGTTATATGATACTGTGAATTCATCAAGTATCTCTATTTAATCTATGCAGCTATATAACTAATTTAATTCAGTTTTAAAATTTAATTTATGGTTATTGTGTTATTTTATCACAGGGTGTGTATGTACTGCAGGATAATCGGTTTAGATTACTAATACAGATTGCGGCAGGCAAACAGTATATGGAGTATGCACCAAAGGTATATTATTAAAACTATCGTCAATATCATTTTTGGAATGGAATGTCATGATTGTCAAACCATGTCAAATTACCAGGATGTGTGACCTTTAGAGGTCATGCTTAAGTACTCTTGACTTAATTTTCAAAATTCTAACATGTACCAGAATAAACAATTTGAGCTTTCAAATCCAGTATAATGAATATATTTATGATAACATATCATTTTCTTTTTTTTCAGTATTTGGCGTTTCCATGCGGCCTTATAAGAGGGGCGCTTTCTAATCTTGGTATGAACTGTATTGTCACGGCAGAAGTCACTCAGATGCCAGCGTGTGAGTTTAAATCAAGTATTTAAAAATTCAGCTGCAGGATTGTGTAAATCCAGGGAATAAAAACAGTTTGACACATCCCAACTATCATTACTATATTTATGTGCGTGTTGAAGCAGAATCTGTGTGTTTTCCAATTCTGCTGCCCTCTTAGTTGAAGTTCAATTTTAAACTGCTGCAATGTTCAGGGGGTTTCAATTTTGCTGCTAATTGCTAAATGATACTCTAATACAGAGAGAATAATAAATTATAAAATAAAATAATAATTAATGCTTTAATCGCAATATCATAGTTTATTTCTGAAGTATGATTGTGAATTATATATTATGCTTTGGGATGATCAGCTTAATGGAAAAACATAAAACATAATAAAAATGAGAAGTGCAATGATTGATTGATTGGAAAATTATAAAAATAGTTATTTAATCAAGAGTGTCTCTTGTTGACCAGAATAATCAGTTTCCTAAGACTGAACAGAAAAATTAAATAAAACTTTAAAATAAATTGAATTCAAAAACATTGAATGAGAATAATACGAATGACACGTCTACTAAATCTATAATAATGTGCAAGAATTGAAACATTTGGATTCCTGGGAGCCTAATTCTGAGTTACTGAGTCACTGCTGACTGTGAGAGATATGCAAATAGAAAAGAGCTGTGTACATTGATTATGTCATTCATATTTCATATTTGTCACGATTTAAAAAAAGTGTCTGTGTTATAAATAATGCATACAAATCAGAGTTCAGTTATCTTTGGTCTATTTTAACGTCATCAGTATAGTACCGGTAGGATAGATAGCCCTAGTCACATCATATTCGGGGTGTTTCCATGACAACCTACACTTTCAGATCATAATAGAGATGCCTACATACAATGTGACACAATATACTTAATACAATACCTGCTGAAATCCTCAACAGATAACCAAAATGAAAGGGGGAGGAACGGTGTCAGTAGGCTGCGATTTAACACTTTCAGAGTTTGGTTTCCATGGTAACGTTACTCATGTGATCTTTGTGGCTTGCAAATTTTTTTATATCGACTTGCCATGGCAACAGTTTATCTTGTCCAAATTGTACTTTTTGTTGAATGATATAGCAGTGATTTATCGGTTGCTATGGGAATTTTTCTGAAGTTGAAATATAATAAAACTTTTCATGCATTCACAAACATCTATTTACAATTCCCTCAGGTGTGAATATGCAAATTCTAGTTAACAAATAAAAATAAATTGTGGTAAATAATATTGCCACTGAATGTTAATGCGACTGTGTATTTTTTTCACATGAGTTGTGAAACATTTGGCCAAACTATTGCCATGGATTAAAAAATAAAAAGGAACATTATTATTGACAAATGGTTAGGGGTTAGGGAGAATGTCAAAACTTGAAAAGTTTGTGATGTTGGGGCAAAAAATAATGACCTTCCGCCGCAGTAAACATTGTTAACTACCATATATGTTTAAGCACGCACAAGTTCATATAATTGCCTAAACTAGTGCTTGTTAAATTTTTTTCCGTATTAGTACCCATTTTACTTGGTGGGCATGTGATGACATATCAAAATAACATGATTTTTCACTGAAATTGACCTTGGTTGAAATAACAATATGGCATGCATTCAGTGTCACTTATTTTTAGCTCTTTGAATATTCTCACTGTCACAATTTTCTTTTAATTTCTCTCAGTGACAATGCTTGACATTTCTGATCAAAAATACATGAGCAATTTGGTCAAGACTTGTTGTATTAATGGAAACATGAATTTAGTGAAAATATTTTTTATGATGAATGTTTACATTGGTGGTGAAAAGACCATTCTTTGATAATATGTTTTGTTATTGATTTTTATTTTAGTTCATTTTTTCTTTCAGGTAAATTCCAGATCATCATCCAGAAGTCTTAGCATGTATTTATTCCTGAAAACGTTATTTATTCCACTTTTTGATTTTGATGTAAAGAGAAAAATATACAGCACATGCCCAGTGTTGAAATGAAGAATGCTTAGTCTCCTTGCTGAGTTTGTGGAGTAATGTACTATGTCAAGCTGAGTTCAACAACGTATATAAAACAGAAAAAAAAGATTGAGAAATGACTACATTTTTGTAATTATTTATTTTGGTGCAGATTTTTACACAGATTTATGTAAATTTCTTAGATTTCAAAACAAATTTTGAAGGCAAACAGATATAATTTGATATTGGTTATCGATACAAGACATACTGTTTAATCTGATAACTTGATAGAGTTGACTAAGGCCAGACTTTCTTTAACTCTTGTTTCTCGAGTTTTTATAAGTCTTTTTTTTTTGAGGAGGCCGGAAAAAAAATAAAAATTATTTTTTTTTTCCATTAGATTTGTGTGATTCTCAAAAAATTGTAAGTGAGATCATTGATCAGGAAGAGGAAATGAAATAAAATTTTA